TCTGTGTCACCGAAAGGGGGGAGCTGGGCCTCGTTGCCCCAGCCGTGGCCTCCATCAACAGTATTTGTACCAGCTGATGCCGACGGCAGCCTGGACTCCTCCGGCATGGACAGCAGCCCCACAGGGCCCAGCACCTGCTCTCTTTGCCGGCCACCCATCCCCAGGCGCACCAGGACTCCTCTGGGCGGGTGCACAGCCACCCTCTTCTTGTAATTACAGCCTGGTTGAACTTGTCTCCGGGAGTTGCTGCGGCTCCGTCCGGTGCAGAGCTGGGGGGATTGAGGCTGAGCTGGGGCCACACTTCTCTCTTTGATGAGCCATGGATGTGTCCAGGGGACGTGACCGGGTACAGAGGGGGGGAATGGCAACACTCGGGGGGCTCTAGCAAGAGCTGCTGCTCTGCAGTGGGCTGCTCTGAGGCTGGTGGGGGCCCAGGGGCTGCAGTCTTTTGGCTCACTGCAGGGCAGGCTGCAGAGCTGGGATGACTTTGCTGTGGCACTGTGCTTTCACAGGACAGCTGTAATGCCTCTGTGAGGGCAGCCGGGCTCCCCCCCAGGCCGGCAGAGGACCACAGGGAGCCCGTAGTCCTGGGGGAAACTGCCAGTGGGAAGTGGTACCCGTGCTGCCTGCCGTGGCGATGCACAGGTCTGAGAATGCGCTGCCTGCAAGGGCCACATCCCCAGGAGCCCACAGCCCGTCGGTGTTACCCCACTGCCCGGAGTAGCCCCCCTCAGCACCCCACATGTGGGTGCACCCATCCAGGAGCAGTGGAGCAGTGACCCTGTGTCCCTGTTGTTGCCACCAGCCATGAGTAGCTGCCTTTTCTCTTCAAGGCACTGAGCATCACTGGGAAGGGGCATTGCATGGACTGTACCGCCTTTCTGGTTCGGACAACCCTGTCTCAGTCCCTGTTCCTCGTCCCACCCCGTGGTGAGACCCATGGACTCAGCACCCACTGGAGCCAGTGATGACCATGACCCAGGCTGTGTGTGTGTTGCAAGGACAGAGCATTTCTACCCTGCTCCTGCAGCTCAGAGCGGGCAAGATGGACCAGAGAGGAGAGAGGAAACCCCACTGTCCCTTCTCACCCCTCTGGGGGCTGCTCCAGCCCCCTGGGATCTGCAGGGATCTTCAGGGGTGAGTCCCCAGGCAGAGCTCTGCACCCCAGTGGTCACATCCTGGCTCAGCAGAGCCCAGCCGCCAGCAGCCCCCCTCCCCATACGTGGGGGACAGAGCCCGGCACAGGGAGATTTACTGAATGCCTAACAAGATTAGCAACTGCGGGCGGGCAGGCAGCGATGTAATAGGATTGCAATCTAATTAAACCTGCTGCTTGGGAGCTGGGCCCCAGCTGGCCGGAGTGGGGTGGGCTTGGGGACTGCGGGGGTGGCTGGAGGGGACAGCAGGGATGGGGTGTGGAGGTGTACTGGGCAGCCTGGGGTGGCTGCGCAGGAGCCTCGGTCACCGTGCAAGGGGACCTGCACCTGCCACCCTCCTTCCCCTGAGAACGCACCCTCCAGCCCTTTCTCTGCCATGCAAAATACCCTGTCTGGTCCAGCCAGGAGGCTGATTAAGGATTAATTTTTTAGTTAAAAACATTACTCACTTCACCAAGTCCAATCGCATACCCTGGCAGTAGCAGTCCCCAGAGAATGAGGAGCTCAGCTTTAGCTTGCACATCAACAACACGCTGGAGTGTGGTGCACAGCGAGCACGGAGCTCGTGCCGTCCTGGTGTGGTCCTGCACAAATGCACCCCAGTTTCATGGAGATGTCAATGCTCCATGCAGCACCCTTACCCTTCCCTCATACCCCAGCTCACTGCTGCAGGGCTGAAGTGCAAATCCACTGCTTGCCGAGTTTGTGTAGACCCTACAATAACTGAGCCTAGCAAGTGTGTGGTGGGATGCACATTCCCCTTGCAAGCAGCTGTGCCACAGCAGACACCACGGGGTGGCACATGCAGGTCTGGAGCCCCAAGGGGTCCTGGCAGAGGAGGGCAGGTTTTTTAGCCAGCAGAGCTGCCCAGGGAAACCTGGAGGAGCTACACACCGGCTCCGCTGGACTCCAATTCTCCAGGCTGCCAGGGCGGCTCAGCGCTCCCTCTCATTTTAATTAAACCTGCGACTGCATTTTTCATCTCAAGGACAGGCCAAGTGGCCGACCACGCTGCCGGGGAGGGAGCTCGGCCAAGCAGCACTGGAGGGGATCCAAGCACTCTCTGCCAGCCCAGCTTGTCCCCCGGGACCCATAAACTACCTGCTGAGAGCTGGGAGTCCCCTTCCCCACTTCACTCCCCAGCACCAGTGGGGCAGAAACCCATTCCCCTGCCCAGGAGGCTGGCATAGTTCAGGGGGCATTGTGGTGCGGTGCAAGTACAGGACATGCAGTCTTGCAGGACTGAAAGGTTTTTGCCCAGTGCTCCTGGCACCAAGCAGGGTGAAGCTGCTCTCTCTGGTGGGACACTCTCTCCCACCAAGCCTGACTGGGAGCGTGCTGGGACACCCCATGGGAGACTCTGCATCCCCTCAGCCACCTCCCCTTCATTGTGGGACCAGGAGCACCCACCTGTCCGTCCCTACGGGGCTGGGTGAGCTTTGCCAGTGCGCTCCCCACGGTCTCCAGCCTTGGCCCAGTGGGGATGTGCTTGGGGCAAAGGCTGGACTCTGCCTCCCCCCTGCTCAGACAGTTGGGGTCTCTGTGACTCCCACCCCCTGCAGTGTAAACAGCCTTCCTGATGCTCCATCCCTGCCTCTGCCAGGCACAGCAACCACATAACCATGGCAACAGTGTCCCTATAACAACCAGGTACATTTGACATCCCCATGGCAACCGACTCCCTGAACAGCCGGTGAAGAGCTTTCCTTCCTCGGTGCTGGGGAGGGATGGGGGGGTTTGAGCCCCACCAAGGCAGGCAGGGCTGCGGGGATGTGCAGACACAGCTGGGAAGGGCTTTGGCCGGGATCCTGGGGCAGCACAGGCCTTCGTGGCCTCTGTCCTGCCAGGGAGGCTGCAGTGGACACAGGTGATGCAGGAGAAGGGGGTAGCCCTGGGGACAGCATCACCTCAGCTCAGCCTCCTGCATCCCAGCCCTGTCCTGCCTGCTGGGCTGTCAGTGCCATCAGGCCAGTATTCCCTGCTCCGACACATGCTCCCTGGAAACGCGTATCCCAAAGGCCAGGACCATGCTTCCTCCCACAACCTTCTCCCACCCCTAACTCGCACTGCAGGGATGCTCTGCCCGTTGCCCGCAGCCTGCCCTCGCTGTGGGGCTGCTGGACCCTCCCGCCACTGCCTGCCCACGTCTGCCGGGCCAGACTCACCAGACAGCAGCCCTGACGCAGCCTGTCGTTGCAGACGGCAATTGCACGCCATGCAACTTTAATGTGTGAGGCCTGAATTATTGAGCCCTGCAGTGGGCTGTGTGCGTGCAGACAGGACCCATCATCCCTCCACCTCTCCCTGCCCACGCTCGCCCAAGCGGGCAGCAGCGGGTGGGGACTGGCGAGAGGTCCCTGTGGGGTCTCTCTGGGTGCGGGAGGGTGCCGTGCCCCTTGCTAGCTCTGAGGACTGCAAGATGTGGGTGGCAGGGTGGCTGTTGGTGCCACCAGCTTGGTCACCTGGGGGCTGGTGGTCCCCGAGCATGGTGTTATCTCTGCAGGCTGTGGGGACAGGTGTGTAGGGAGGGATGTGCAACCCTGCTCTGTCCCCACCTTGGCGTTTGCTCCCTGCATCCTCATGAAACCCCACAGCCAGGGGCAGCAGATCCCCAACTGCTGCCCTGGGAGGTCCTTGCCCTGCTCCTGCTCACTTTGCTGCCAGGCCCCAGTGAGATGAAGCCTTTCCACCACAGTCAATGTAAATCCTGCTGTGGGTGCAGCCAGAGCTTGCTCCCTGGCCAGGCACGGCTGTCACTGTGCTGCTCTGGGGATGACGAAAGGCTGCGAGAATGGCCCGGTTGCTCTCTCCTTTTGCAATTTGCCCGGTGCGCCCTGCAGCCACTCGATGATTTTCTCATCAGAGTAGCAAGCCTCGACTGCCCTCCCCGCGCAGACCCATCCATCACCCACGGTTGGCACCGCCGCACACATCACAGGCGCTGAAGCTGCCTACCCTGTTCTGTCCCTGGCTGTCCCTCTGCCCCGCAGACAGCAGCCCCGCCACAGCCGGCCTGGGGGGAGCAGCTCTGAGCATGCAAAGGGACCCCGTTTCCCCTGGAGCAACACACGTGGAGCCTGCTTGGTCACCCCTCCTTCTTCCCCATCCCCTGGCCCTGTGTCTCACCCTCCCTGCTGCCATCCCCAGCCCTCATCCCATGTTAGGGATCCCTCAAAGCTTCAGCCCTGGTCTGCAGGCTGTTGGGCGAGGGCCAGGTGGGAGCCAGGCACCCGCAAGCGGGAGATACAGCTACAGACGGAGCAAGCTCAGTCCCAGTGCATGCTTCTGCATTGCTCCTGCCATGGGGCACCTCTCCAAGTCCCTGCTCCAGGGCAGCACCATGCCGTGGGTACCTGCCCCATGCAACTGCGACAGAGCTGAGCATGATAAAACCAGCCCAGAGCAGGGACAAGGGGCTCAGAGGTGGACCTGGAGCATCAGGAACCAGCATTGCCCCAGCAGCACCCTGTGCCACAACATCTGGAGGTGTGAGAAAGCAGCAGGGTGGCAGGGCATGCCCGGTTTTGCATAAGGGTATGGGTGCAGGGGCCATGGAGATGAGGGACAAATGGCTTAGCCATACCCGCAAGGACCAGAGCATCGCAGGGGGACTGTGCCAAGGGACAAAGAGCAGCTGCCACAGCCACATGGCCAGAGGAGAGCGGCGGACAGGGAAGGGGGACGCCGTGACACGGGAGACCAGGCAAATGTGGTGGTGATGCAAAGCACCACAATTTTTAGCCGCCGGTAATTGAGTTTCTTGGAGAGGCTGGTGGGGGAACCCACAGCGGGGCCGGACTCAAGATTTTATCCCTGGCAATTTAGAAGAGGGCTGTTGAAGAGCTGTTCTGCTGAGCAGAAGAGCCACTTGAGTTGTGCTTAACTTCATCAAGGGAACCGCATAGAAATCAGGAAGCTTG